CCCCTGCGGGAGCCCGAAAATGCAATACCCAGGCAAGGATATCAGCTCTAGTACACCCGCACAAGCCTGCCCCTCTATTCATTGTAAAGGTGTGCTAGGAAAGTGTGCTCACAAGGACCGCAGCAGCGAACACAAACTCATGGCGCAGGTGGTGGTTGCTTGTTAACATGGAAGCCCAAGGCACATTTATTGTGTGGTGCCGTGGGCACGCACTTCGAAATTGATTTTAAATATGTTCTAGGCTATATTATTCGTTGGCATGTCATATATAATGTGTGCGTGTTCACAAAAATTTATTCCACAAGCTGTCTTACCTTCAAAATTTTGTGCCAATGCTCCTTTAGCCCAGCCGTGCTTCATTGAAATTCACTATGTATTAAAGAGCGTGTTAGTTCTAGGGAACAGGAATGCACTGACAAGGTTCAACGGGCCAGCTGGCACAGCTTACTGGGACAGAAACAATGTGACAAACTGAACCAGAGCATACGGAGTTCGTAATTTACCGTACTTTGCTGCGGGTAGCGCAACCTCAACAGAGGACTAAAAAGAATGTACACAAGCAAGCACTGACAGGCAACTGGTTATACTTTTTTACACTTGTGATTAAGAAGTACAATAAAATTATCGCCTGACACGTACATGTCGTAACAGAGTGTCATTTCAATAAATCATTAAATATAGCTCTATTTATTATGCAGAGCAATTCAGGTCTGCCTGACAATGCACTTGGTTTAGGTGCATGTGGTTTGCTTCCACAATCTCGTGATTGACTTGGTTATTACTTCTGTACATTTCTGGCTGCACATTACAAAACATGTCATTGCGAGCCAATGTTTTACGAAACACAGATAGCACACAGACGTAATAAACCAATCAATCGCGTGGAAGCATGCCACATGCACGTAAACCATAGTGCATGCCTCAGCCAGACCTCGATTGCTCTCCATGATAAAAAAAGTGCAATTTTTGAATGATGTAATCAAGTGGCACCCTGTCACAACATGTACTTATCAAACGATAATTTTTTTTGTACTTATAATCATATGGGTGCAGAAATAAACCCAGTTGTCAGTCAGTGCTTGCTTGTGTACGTTTATAGCCCTCTGTCCGGGTCGTGCTACCCACAGCGAAAATATGTTTGTTTAGGTCTCACCCTCTGTCCTGTTCTTGCGCAGTTTTCACTGACAAGAACACTGGAAGATAGGCTTCATACTATGGGGTTAGCAACTGCATGTTTTATTAATAGTTTTCTCCCATTTTATAGCAGTAGACTGCCAATCCAGTGTGCCTAGATTATCATTTTTCTTCTCTCTTATACTAATTATTGAGGTTTAATGTCCCAAAACGACGAAATGATTTAGGGAGACACCATAGTAGAGAGCTCCAAAAATTTCAACCAGCTGGATGTTCTTAACTATGCACCTCAATCAAAGTAAACGGGCCTCAAGCATTTTTGCTTTCGTCGAAAATGCAGCCACTGCAGCCGGTATTCGGACCTGCGACCTGCGGGTTTTCTTCTTTCTCATAAACTGTCTCTGCACATATGCTCTCTTATTCGTTGACAGTCAGATGCACTTATAACTCAAAACAGTCAAAAAAAGGGGAGGTCGTTACACCAGTAGTTTGATGCACAGGGATTTGTGCTACACGCAAATTAGTAGCCAAGGAGTTTTTTTTTCTTTCTGCAGTTTTATTACTAAGCGCCAACAAACCCTATAGTGACAAGTTAGGCCTTTATACGTCTTGAATAAACTCTCAGTGGATGCTTACAAGCGAATACATTGCAATGAATAGAATCTGCCACTATTGAGAGAGTGTACAATGCTCATCGAGAAATTCCTGCAGGCTTATTTTTTTTTTTTTTTCAAAATTTCCACTCGCCAGAAGTGTCACATATCCATGTTGGGAGTGCTAGCAGGAAATTGAATTGAGAGATGTGAAAGACGTTACTGGCGTGGCAAACAACTTCATCTAAAATAACATGGCAGAACAAGCCACCACTCAAAAATTCACACGACCAAAAAATTTATGCAAGCAAATATAAACAACCGTATTTCTTGCATAATAGGCACACTTTTTTTCATTACCATCATCATTTATTGTACCCTTAAAAGCCCTTTACGGCATATTACATAAGGGGAAGAGACAAAAGCTTCTTCACAGCATAATTATTATTATGCAATGCTAGAAAAATATTTTTGCAAAAATACAAAATACATGATTTTCCTTTCAAAAGTGAAGCAAAGACAATGCAATGGGTAGAACGAGCAGTATAAATGCCGTTAAAAGAAAAATAGTTCATGAAATAACACTGTGATAGAGGCACTTTACGGGTTGAAAAAACATGAAAGATTCGTGCTGTTTCTCTTTTGCATTCTGCGAATCAAGCACGAAGTGCAAAGCTGCAAGTTTATTGTAGATTCACAATCTGAGCCTTAATGAGACAGCGAATGACACACAGGCACTCCACAAGCGAGTATCGCAGCACGTTTGCTCATAATGAGCACCTCGTCTATCAAATGGTGGCGGTGAGGTCTCTAGGGACCTTAAGCGGCGGTGGTGCCGCCAAAGCACATGCGCAAGCAGTAGTAGCATGCCCAACATTGAAAAGAGGAGTCCTCTACTCTTCTCTACTTCCTGCTTCACAAAACGTGATGTTACGGCTTCTCCTCAGTTTATTCTTTCCTCCTTGGCGATAGCCCTATTCGCCTCGCACTTTTTTTTCGGGTCAGGCTTCGCCCCTATGCCTTTGTTTTTGTCAAACAGCTTGACCTGTAAGCTTGTTACATGGCTGTTTTTTAGTGTTTTAGTTGGTGGTTGAAGGTTCCAAGATGACCTCTAGAAGCAGCTCAAACGGAATGCTACGACAGCTGATGATATGTGGGGTTTAACGTCCCAAAACCACCATATGATTATGAGAGACGCCGTAGTGGAGGGCTCCGAAAATTTCGACCACCTAGGGTTCTTTAACGTGCACCCAAATCTGAGCACACAGGCCTACAACATTTCCACCTTCATCGGAAATGCAGCCGCCGCAGCCGCAGCCGGGATTTGAACCCGCGACCTGCGGGTCAGCAGCCGAGTACCTTAGCCACTAGACCACCACAGCGGGCGGAATGCTACGACAGCGAAAAATGCGACGCGAGTGACCTATGAGATGAAGTCGTCGATGAGTACTCGTGCATGTTTCACCAATGCTCGGACACTATGCACAGTGCGATGACAAAGCATGCACGTGAGCTGACGGCTGATAAGATCCATATTGTTTGTCCTTTTAAGGAATTAGCGATGAGAGCAAACACGACGTTAGAACAGCGCCCGCGAACCGACGTGAATAATCGGTATTTAATGCTAATGCTTGACAGCGCATAAAAAGGATGTGCACGGTTTTAAGGGTTCAATTTTCAGCAGTTGATCTACCCATATCAGGATAGATCATGCTCTTTTTCAAACAAACAAGCACTGATTCTTTTGTAATATTTCGTGTGTTCTTTCTTGCTTATTCGCGCATAACACCGTCACAAATGTATACAAAGCAGAGGTAGGTGACTCACGTGTTTGTGTTTACAATTTTTGTACAAATTTTTAATATTTCCACTCCAACAACTTTCAAAATAACAAATGATTTCCAGCCGTCCCTTGAGATTCATTGTATTGAGATTTCACTGTATATAGGTATATATTAGACCACGCACCAACTAGCCCAAGAACGTGTTTCAGTCCACTCTGGCACTTTACATTCATTAGCTTCTATTTTAACTGACACTGTTAAACTTTTGTAACTCGATGCAGAATACTTTCTTGCATCTCCTGATGACATTTCTTTAAAGATGCTCTTAAACTGTGATCACAATGGCTTGTTTTACATTTTTGTGGCGCGGTCAGATTTACACAATGATATATCACCACTTGACAGTGTCTCATATTTCCAGCATCCTCAAAGGCAAGGGCTGTTTTGAGAAACATAATCTGTTCAATTTCCGCCATTTCCTAGGTGAAACTGAGCTTTGGTAATGTTCCATGAAAGGCTGGGGCCAGCACTTCTTCCCAACGCTTGGTTACTTGCAGGCTGATCACGAGCTCAGCCTTGAACAAATCAAGTCATTTAAAAACTTGTTCTAAAATGCAAAGTCTGCCAGGCTGTTCAAGCTGCACTTCTTTATTCGTGGAGGTACGCTTTGAAGTGGTGGTTGCGAGCACACATAGAGTTCGGTTCTAGGAATTCCAACAAGAAACTTATTTTAGTTAATCCTCCATAGAATGAGCCAAGGTCCCGCCAATTACATCAATGTCGACTGTGAAGAAAATTTTGAGTGTTCTTGCGGCTTTGTGAGGAACCTAAATGTTAGCGAACAATAATGACTCGCAGTTGACAATAATGCGACGCACATTTTCACGGCACAGTGCCATCTAACAGCACTGCCAATCATGTGCTTACTGTTCAGACCATGAAAAAAGCCAGGCACCTTTAATATATGGCAACACTGTACGTCCTCAACATTAGTATCACCATCAGCATGAACAGAACATTGAGAGGCTATGTTTTCTCATGAGAAGCCCCTAGCAGCAGCCTTTGCAACTTGCAGAATGTGTGAATGGCTGAAAAGCCTGCTCTAGCACACAAATACAGTCAGAGTTTGAAAAAGTTAGCTTCAGTGAACAATATAGCATGGCACCCAAAAGCAATTGTGGGCCACAAATGTTTGAGTTGTCATGTTTGTGTCTCAGAGCTGTGCAATTCATAGATTCCCTTACTAGTTTAATTAAAGTTCAACAACAGCCCTGCAGAATCAGAACAACTCTTTGTGCAGTTTCGAGCCTCATAGCCATGACTGCAGTTTTGGTTGAATATTACAGCCCAGTACCACAAGAATGTGCAGCAGCAGTATGCTGTTTCTGTCAATAATCTGAATAGAGACGTTCTTCACATGGCAGCCATGGCCACCATGATGCTGCGTCTGGCAGTTCCCCAAATGTATCTGCTCAACAATACCACGCACCTTTCAGCCTGTAGCCGGGCCCTCTGCACGTTCTCTGCTAGACACAGCTGCACGAGTTCAGCAGCCAGCACACCTGCACAGCGTCATTGCACATAATTTATTAGATCAAGGCATTACACACATTTGTTTTGTATGAACTGTAATATGCTTATCAATTGGAGAGCCCACAAATCGAGCAGGCTGCTGTGATGATAAATAAACCCTGTAAGCAGGTCAACATATATTATTGAATTATGAGGTTTCATGTGCACCAATATATGATTATGAGACACGCTGTTGTGCGCAGTTGATTGATTTTTACCATCAAACTCGAACAATGCCACTAAAAATAAAATGCCGCAAAAAGAACAAAAAATGAAAGGCAGAAACAGTGACGCAGAGGTGGCTACAAACATCATCATCAGCCTGATTACGCCCATTGCCGAGCAAAAACCTCTCCCATGATCTGCCCATCAACCGGCTTTCGTGCTTTCCGTTGCCACATTATACCTGCAAACTTTTTGATCTCATCAACCCACCTAACTTTGTCTCCCCTTGATGCGTTTGCCTTCTCTGAGAATCAAGTCAGTTACCCGTAATGACCAGTGGTTATCCTGCCTACGTGCTACGTGCCCGGTTTATGTCCATTTCTTTCTCTTAATTTAAACTACGATATCCTTAAACACACTTTCTTCTCTCATCCACTCTGCTCTCTTCTTGTCTCTTAGGGTTACACCTATAATTCTCCTTTCTATCGTTCGCTGCGTCGTCCTCAATTTAGGCTGAACCCTCTTTGTAAAGCCTCTATGTTCCTGCTCCGTAGGTAAGTACCGGCAAGATGCAGCTGTTATATACCTTCCTCTTGAGGGTTATTGGCAGATTACCATTCATGATTTGAGAATTTTTGCTGAATGTGATCTAACCCATCCTTATTCGTCTAGTTATTTTACTCTCATGATTCGACTCCGCTGTTACTACCTGTCCTAAGTAGACTTATTCCTTTACAACATCCAGCTTCTCTCCACCCATCGCGAAGTGCAGTTTTCTGCCAAGACTGTTGCACATTATTTTAGTTTTGTGCATATTAATTTTCAGACCTACTTTTCTGCTTTCCGTGTCCAGTTCAGTAATCATGAGCTGCAATTCGTCCCCTGAGTTACTCATCAAGGCAATGTCATCAGCGAATCGCAGGTTACTAAGATACTCTCCATTAACTCTTATTCCTAACTCTTCCCAATCTAGGGTCCTGAAAACCCCCTGTAAACATGCGACGATTAGCATTAGAGAGATCATGTCTCACTGCCTTACACTCTTCTTTATTGGGATTCTGTCGCTTTCTTTATAAAGAACTATGATGGCTGTGGATCTACTATACGTTTCTTCAAGTTGTTAAGGTGTTTATTAGCTGGCACCCAGAGATCATACGATATGACGACAGTCCAAGCCAAGCACGGGCAACACCCTTTCTGGGTAGACCCACTAGGAGGCACTCAATAGTTCGACCGATTTCAAAGTTTGGAGGCTTCGCTACAATTACACCAGGGTCAAAGAAGGAGCCGCCTGGCGACCCAACAGCTTGTTACTATGAGCCCGCCATAGTAAGCCTTCAGGCGCTCTACATTAAAAATGTCGCATCCGCGACGGCGCTTGTCCGAAGATTGTTCGATGGGTTCGATCAGATAGTTGACCAGGGATGTGCGCTCGGTGATACGGTTGGGGCCTTCGTATTTTGGGATTAATTTGAAAGAGAGGTCAGCTACGAATCGAGAGCCATACGAGCACACCAGGAAGAAACGTGGGCTCAGAAGTGGCATAGCCATCATAAATACTGTTCTGCCGTTCTTTCTCATGCAGCGTAAGAGACTTGGCGAACTCGTGACGCTCTTCAGCAAGCCTGGCTGTCTCAAAAATAGGTACACACTCAGATGCATCCGGCATGTAAGGGAGTATCGTGTCGATGGTATGCGACGGGTGCCTTCCGTACAGCAAGAAGAAAGGTGCTCTGAGGGGCGGTATTGTAGGCGTAGGTGACAAAGGGCAGTATAGCATCCCAAATCGTGTGTTTGGCGGCTACGTACATTGAAAGCATGTCTTCAAGGGTGTGGTTAAAGCGCTCAGTGAAGCCATTCATCTGCGGGTGGTAAGCAGTAGTGTTGCGGTGGACAGAATGGCACTCCATGAGAACGGTTTCGACGACTTGCGACAAGAAGATACAGCCTGGTTCGCTCAGAAGCTCATGGGGTGGACCATGGTGCAGTATGAATCGATGGAGCAGGAAGGACGCAGCATTGCGTGCAATAGCAGCAGGGAGAGCGGCGGTTTCGGCGTACAGTGTTAAAATGTCTACGGCGACGATGGCCCACTGGTTACCAGCCGACATCAGAGGAAGTGATCCATACAAAACGATACCGGTCCATACAAATCGATACGACGGTTTGTGACGTTGGCAAGCAAGGCAGGAGCGAACGAACTGCTGCATGTAGCGGAACATTTCGCGCCAGAAGTAGTATTGTGGAATGCAGTGGCAAGTTTTGGATACCTGTCGTGTGTTAGGTTCGTCACATAGCAAGGCGTGTGACGCGAGGAAGATGGAGACAGTGAGGAAAACAAACAGGAGTTATATTGGATGAACAAAAAAAAACTATTGCGCGTACAGTACTGTAAGTCGTACACGCGCGTGGTTCACACACAAAAGAAAAGAGTAACCAGTCTCACAGTCTGTGCCGTAGCCCGGTGCCTTGAAGTGGGACCCGTTGCGTGCTCGGATGCAGTCGTCGCTTGGGTGCCAGGTCAGCATACCACTGTCGAGGGCATCACCAGGTCTAGGCGTAGCCGCACACTATCAGCGACGTCGGCTCGGTAGACGTGGTGAGCAGCTCCGGTCTTTCGAGGGCGCTCGCCGTACCGGAGATGTCCACAGGACCACTCACCGAGAACTCGTGCTGGCCACGCCGACACGCCGTGCCCCGAGGACGTCAATGGCTCGAGGACAGGAACCCGTCCTTTCGAACCTCGCGCGTAGTTGCGGGTTCGCCCTAGGCTCCCTTGCGTCGTCTTGCCGGCGTCCGAACGGCTTCGTTCTCCGCGAGCGTCTCCTCTTCTTTTTTCAATGGGCGCGCTGCAATGCCTCTTCATTCTTCTTATCTTCTAGGTGATGTGGCGCTGTCGTCTGCTGATGCTCGCGTTTTTTTAAGCTACTACATCACAATACCCCAGAGTGCGTGCATTGCGGATCAGAATGGAAAGATTCACATATCTCCGACCACAGACTGCGGGGTATCACGAGTAACCACTGCCGGCTATCGGCGCTGTAATTGCGTCGATGTAGGAAGCCGTCACGGATGGCAAAATGGTGAGCTCAACGACACAAGGCGCGCGTGGATGGTGTTGCGAATGGATCAGAGAGCAAGTGGATCAGCAAGGCGATCCAATTATGCTTTCACTATTCCGTTGTAATGATGTCAACGTCGATGGCAAAAACAGTAATTGAAGATACTGAGCAGGGCACATCGTCTTCAAACGGAGGGGAGCGCGAAATGACGTCGGCGTCAGCATGCTGGCGTTCGCTGCGGTACAGCACGCGGATATCGTAGTCTTGCAAGCGAAGAGCTCAACGGGCGAGACGGCCCGAGGGATCCTTCAATGACGAATGACAGCCAGCATAGTGCTTGATGGTTGGTGACGACATCGAATGGGCGACCATACACATGAGGTCGAAACTTTGTAAGCACCCAGACGATCGCCAGGCACTCTTAGCAACCGGACACAGGGAATCTTAGCAACCTCCGCTGCATGACAGGTCTGACCGCCGCCTTGGACAGTTGCTTCGCAGCCGCTGGAGACTGAGGGCCAAGGGTTAATTGCTGTATTCATGGGAGCAGGATTGGCCACCCTGGTGCAGTACCAGGCCACAACCTTCCATGAATACGGCTACATGACGATGATGTTTGGTGTTTTGTGACGCAAGGGCCATTCAATGGCCAAAGAGTGCCAGGTCATAGGACTAGAGATGTGAACAATGATGTGAACGAGAATTCAGATAAGCGGTTGTATAAGGGCCTTAAAATGCATCGCGCTAAGGCGGGTAAAAATACAGTGGTAATAAAATCATGACAATGACGTGATGTGCGTGTAGTCTGAATGGATGGCGAAAGTTCTTAATAATAAAACCATGGTTCTTGATAATAAAACTATCAGCACAATTGCCATGGTTGTCTACAGCCTTGTGTCCAAGGGCCGCGAGGCAAGTAGTCATCGCAGCAGCGACCTCTTCTCAGAGAGGTCGTGCTGCGGGGATGCCTGGAAATATGACATGAAAACTATTTACATCCTTTAAAAATGGGAGCAATGGATAACTAAAAAGCGGTTCCCTAACTATAAACATAGATGGGTGCAAGGGGACTTGATGGCGGAAGGGAAATGGAAAGTGTTTTCTTCTAATTACATTCAGTTCCTTGCACTGTATTAAAACATGAAGCACGGTAAGAGGTTCACCACACATTTCACACAGGGGTTGATACCCGCCAGACAAAAGATGTGAGTGTGTGCTGCGTGTACACTCAAACCTTGTTATAACGAAGTTGAAGGGGACCCACAATAATTTCGTTATATCTATTATTTCGTTATATCGATTATAACAGTTTGTGGCAATGTATGTTCAGATGAGCACACACCTATAAGCATGCAAAGAAGGAAACATCGCGGCCCGATGTACCGCTACACGACCACGCGTGCCACGCAAAATGAACTCAGACGAATCTCATTAATTCGAACTTTCGGGTAATTCGAACTCACGCTGAGGTCCCGTCAAAGCTATGTGCATTCCAATGAGCGAACACGCCCTGTAATTCGAACGCGCAAGCACTTGCGACGATTAATTCGAACATACCACGCTCCGAAAATGCTCTCAGCACCATGCCCAATTCTGCGACGGCACCTCTCAACGCTGCGCGCGAAGAAGAAAAAGAAGAAAAGGGAAGAAAAGACTGTGGCGGATTGCTTGCCCTCTCTTAAATGCCGATCTGCAAAGCGCCTGTGCCACGCTTTTCCGTTTTCCGTCTCTGCATGTAGAGACCCTTCTCCTTTCAAGGACGT